CCCTCCTGCCCCCGGCTGCTCCCGCCCTGGGGCCGCACCCTGCGCCCCCCGCCAGACCCAGATCCCCCAGGGCCGTGGGTGCTCCCTGCCGCAGCCCAGGAGGGGCCCCAGGAAAACCCGGGGCGCCCAGGGAAGCCTGGGCCGGCAGGGGTCCTGCCCGCCGGCTGCCCGCCGGGAGCGACCGGGACCCCTCCCGAGCGGAGCAGGCAGGGGAACCCCTGCAGCCCCCTGGCCTGGCACCCAGCCGTGCCGGCCTGCGGGGTCCTGGGGAGCTCCAGCTCCAGCTCCGCAGGACGCTGGTAGAGCTGGGCTGGGCAGATAAACCAGGCCAGCGAAGGCCTTCCTTACCCCGGTGGACATCCATCCCTCTCTGCAAATGCTCTTCCATCAGCCCCAGCAGCTTACTGCATTTAACTCTCAGCTTGTTTCTAATTGATTTAGATCTTAGCTACACAGGGAAGGTTTTCCAGTATATTTCCACTCTGACTTTGAAGTGTTCATTGCAAATATATGTATTTTGGAAGACGGGGAGGCGATCGGATCTCTGGAGATGGGCTAAGAGCAAAAGCAGGCATAGACCTGAGCGAGAGGACAAGTGCCAGTCACAGTCGCCGAGTGCCAGGAGAAGGGCGGCCCACCAGCTGCTGACAGGGTGGCCGTAAGTCCCCTGTTGCATCTGATGCCCTGGGTGGCACCAGGACCATGTGAACCCCGCCTGTAGTGTCCATGGCAAATGGAGACACCGAACCAGCGGCCAGGCTTGGCTCACGTGTCCTGTGGCGAGCGCGGGCTGGTTTATGCAGGCAGGTGGAGGGCCTGTGTGAAGGGGGCAGAGCTCTGGGTTAGAGAGGTGCAACGTGGTAAAGAGTTTGGCTGTGGGATCGTTCTCCCAGTCCAGGAAAAAAACAGCGATCTCCAGAAGGGCTGAAAGAGCAGGGAAATGAAGCAGCCAAAGCAACCTGCCTCCAAGAAGGGACGGAGACCTTGCAACTCAAGCCGAGTGGAGAGCACTGTGAGGTGTGAGAGGGGAAGCCAACACGGCAACAAAACCCAGATCTTTCCCGCTGGGCAGAGAAGCGCCAGCTCTCACTCAGTGTCAGGGCAGTCTCTTGCAGGCTGTCTGTCCATGGAGGCACCCGGGGGTTGGCCACAGGGGTACCCCCATAGGAGAGAGGTGCTGGAGGCAGCTACCAAGCAGTAGGGCTAAAGACAAGATGATTCATCCCTCGGATGGAATCATAAAACCCCTGAGTCTTCACTAGAGGCTAGGACAGGAGGTGACAACATTCGCGTGGGAAGCAGTAAAGAGCTGCTTTAACAAGACACACAAAAATAAGCAACCAGAGCAAGAGCAGATACTTACGTGCTTCTCTAAAACACGATGCTGGAACCAGGGTGCCAGAGTTCGCATGTGGATGCAGCTGTGATCAGAGGCAAAATGGAAGGAAACCGAAGAGGGGTACACCAGGATTCCCAGGCAGATAGCTGCTCCCGGGGAAGCAGGGGAAGTTTGTCAGCAAGGGACAGCAAGCAGCGGCTGTGATGGGGAAAGGCTGGCAGTGGCCCGGGGACCACGCTGAGAGCTTCGAACTGCTCCAAAAAAGCCTCGTGGCCCCCGGAGCCTGGCCACAGAGCGGAGGGCGAGAGGTGGCTGGAACTGATGGGCATCCTTCAGGAAAGCAATTGAAAATACCTAACTGGGAACAGCTTCTGAGTGAAGGCTCACAGGGTGCTGAAGGGTACTTTAGCATCACAAAAAGGCCTAATGTGAGCAAGGTGCTGGAAGGTGACATCGGAGTGGAGAAGCAAGAAATTGGGTGTGCCAAGTAGGAAAACAAAGGAATGAACATACAGAGTCAATCCAGGTAACCATTTGTCAAAATACAAAATGGAGGGGATGGAGCTAAGCAATGGTGACAACGTCCTTTGGGGTGCGGGCTGGGCCTCTGAGAAAATGGTGCCTATTGAAAAAAAAAAAACTTAATTTCAAACGCAGCCACATGCGGCATTA